TGTGGAAGTCTCTGTTGTTGTAGATGTTTCTGCTGCACTAGTGGTGGATGTTTCATGAGGAGTCGGTATTGTGGAAGTCTCTGTTGTTGTAGATGTTTCTGCTGCAGTTGTTGTGATTGTGGAAGTCTCTGTTGTTGTAGATGTTTCTGCTGCACTAGTGGTGGATGTTTCATGAGGAGTCGGTATTGTGGAAGTCTCTGTTGTTGTAGATGTTTCTGCTGCAGTTGTTGTGATTGTGGAAGTCTCTGTTGTTGTAGATGTTTCTGCTGCACTAGTGGTGGATGTCTCAGCAGGAGTTGTTATTGTGGAAGTCTCTGTTTTTGTAGAAGTTTCAGCTGCACTAGTGGTGGATGTTTCCACAGCAGTCGTGATTGTGGAAGTCTCTGTTCTTGCAGATTTTTCTGCTGCACTAGTGGTGGATGTTTCATCAGGAGTTGTTGTGATTGTGGAAGTCTCTGTTGTTGTAGATGTTTCTGCTGCACTAGTGGTGGATGTTTCATCAGGAGTTGTTGTGATTGTGGAAGTCTCTGTTGTTGTAGATGTTTCTGCTGCACTAGTGGTGGATGTTTCATCAGGAGTTGTTGTGATTGTGGAAGTCTCTGTTGTTGTAGATGTTTCTGCTGCACTAGTGGTGGATGTTTCATCAGGAGTTGTTGTGATTGTGGAAGTCTCTGTTGTTGTAGATGTTTCTGCTGCACTAGTGGTGGATGTTTCATCAGGAGTTGTTGTGATTGTGGAAGTCTCTGTTGTTGTAGATGTTTCTGCTGCACTAGTGGTGGATGTTTCATCAGGAGTTGTTGTGATTGTGGAAGTCTCTGTTGTTGTAGATGTTTCTGCTGCACTAGTGGTGGATGTTTCATCAGGAGTTGTTGTGATTGTGGAAGTCTCTGTTGTTGTAGATGTTTCTGCTGCACTAGTGGTGGATGTTTCATCAGGAGTTGTTGTGATTGTGGAAGTCTCTGTTGTTGTAGATGTTTCTGCTGCACTAGTGGTGGATGTTTCATCAGGAGTTGTTGTGATTGTGGAAGTCTCTGTTGTTGTAGATGTCTCTGTTGCACTAGTGGTGGATGTTTCAGCAGGAGTCGTGATTGTGGAAGTCTTTGTTGTGGTAGATGTTTCTGTTACACT